TTACATTTAACAGACTACTTATGAAAACTCACCTTGCACCATGCAGTGAGGCTCAGAATTCTACTCAGAGAGTACCAGGCCGCCTCAGAGCTACGCAGATTGGGATCCATATCATCAAAACTATTATCTTCATGAAGCTGCATGTGAAATCTTGTTTGTCTTTGTTCCCCTTAACCAAAGCGCAAACCCCACAGTGTTTGCCATCACAACCCTTAAGCTTGCCAGGCAACGGTTCTTGTGTAGACTGAATAGAAAAAATTCCGATATTTTCCTAACCCTTCCTGAAGTGACTTGCACTTCGCTCGGCAACTGAGATGTGAATTGCTTAAGCTAGAAAAGCTCATCCCTTTTTGTGAGAGAGGGTTAAAGAAATTGTGTGCGCTTCTGAATGTAAGGCAACTTCATTGTCCGAGCTCAGGATTATGCCGATATGGTTGTGACTCGTCAGGAGCTCAATTTAAGCCAACGAAGCTGAGAGCAATTCATGATGTACACTTAAAATTTCCAAAACATGCCTTTCACAAAATAACCTTCTCCCCAGAGAACGAGTTTATAATGATGGTATTTAGCTCCTTGGATTTTGGGATTTGCCTAGAACGCTAACACGTACAAATACAACGTAAAAATATTCCATTTTACATGCACTCATTTATGGTCTATTTTGATTGGTTTATTTTTTATTTGTTTGAATCAGAACGGCATGAGTAAACTCAGTTAGTCCACCGCATCTTTACCTAAAACTGACATTTACCAATTTGGTGCTTACACACGCAAAACCACATTCTAATGGTGAGCTCTAATTTTGCCGTAACTGGTGAGAAAATATTCATAAGCATGTCCAAGATTATCTTGCAAGTGGCTCTGTCAATTGACATGTTTAAGTTGAAAAAATATATTTTTTATGAGTGTTCGTTAGTGTTTCCAATTTTGGCCCAATTCTATAGGAAAGCCAGGAAAAATGAGTGTTAAATTTGCATATATCCCTCGTTTTATAGGTGAGAAAAGAAAAGAATGCATCAGAAAAGCAAGAAAACCCACAGACTCCTTCTGGTGAGTATTTTCACCGGGTACCAAACGTTGTATTTCGTCCAGCTGGATATCAGTAATACACTAAAATCGATCGATCAAATTAATACTCAAAGTACAGTGATAATATTTGTTATCCTGAATCACATGCTGCACTAAACGCCAGGTTACGTAGTCATATAGACCATGTGGTTTTGCTAAATAATTCGCTCAATCTTGAAAGGGATAGAGAGTTCGTGTACCTTTCGAACAGAGCACACTACTGATATGATTGTCGGTGAAAGCGAGCGCATTGGAATCACTCACGAGTTGAAGTAGACAACATTGTTGTACTGTATAGCTGCATCAATAAGGCCAATCTGAGAGACAAGTCTGACTGCCAACGGTTTCCAAGAGATCAGAAAAACCCTCTATCCAGACTATTGGAGCCTTAACATTTAGTTTTCACTTGAGCACTTAGATAATTCTATAGGAAAGCCAGGAAAAATGGGTGTTAAATTTGCATATATCCCTCTATTTATAGGTGAGAAAAGAAAAGAATGCATCAGAAAAGCAAGAAAACCCACAGACTCCTTCTGGTGAGTATTTTCACCGGGTACCAAACGTTGTATTTCGTCCTGCTGGATACCAGTAATACATTAAAATCGATCGATCAAATTGATACTCAAAGTACAGTGATATTTTTTATCCTGAATCACATGCTGCACTAAACGCCAGGTTACGTAGTCATATAGACCATGTGGTTTTGCTAAATAATTCGCTCAATCTTGAAAGGGATAGAGAGTTCGTGTACCTTTCGAACAGAGCACACTACTGATATGATTGTCGGTGAAAGCGAGCGCATTGGAATCACTCACGAGTTGAAGTAGACAACATTGTTGTACTGTATAGCTGCATCAATAAGGCCAATCTGAGAGACAAGTCTGACTGCCAACGGTTTCCAAGAGATCAGAAAAACCCTCTATCCAGACTATTGGAGCCTTAACATTTAGTTTTCACTTGAGCACTTAGATGCTGTCAATGCAAATTCCACTTTAAGAGGAAATTAATCAAGGCAGGCAATAGTATTTTAGAATGATGTTTTCAAAGCCAACATGCGGAAAGCATTTGTGTTGTCAAGCTCGATTCATGGCTCCAACATGGAACTTTTTATTCAATAATGAGCCTGAGGAACTACCATACTTTTGAGCACTTTAAAAACAACGTGTTTTAAAACCTCAGACAAGTATTTCTTTGCAGTAGTACAAAATATATGGTTTTCCCAGTGATTAGAAGCTATCTGAACCAATGTGTAGGTGTGTGTAGGTGAGTCTGAAGGTTAGTCATAAAGGAAGCTTAATTAATTGCCAAGCGCTCCGTGGGAATAGCTCTTGGAAGCTCTCTGTTGTACTCGTTCCTACAAACCTGTGCACTATTTAAATACAACTGAAGTTTAAAAATATATGTTGTCTTATTTATAGGTGAGATTGATCCCGTTTATCATCTTCTGCGCTGTGCTGCGAACAAGAGCCAGCCAGCAACAACGTCCGCAGTTTCAACAGATAAACCTGGTGAAAAACTCAAGTCGAATGAGGAAACTTCTCCTGCAAGTAAGCCACCAGAGAAGACTGATTTTAGAGTCTGATCGTACAACACATTCTTGGGGCCCTGCGCGAATAATTAAAATAGCCTTATAAACAAATGGAGGTGTATACAGTTTTTGATCAATGCGTCCCTGAACCATACCTAATCAGTCTCTGACAAGATAAATGTTAGCACAGAGCAAGTTTCGTAAATATCCTCTCATGGACGGATATTCATATGTAAAATACGAACTGCAACAAACTCCAGTTTGACCACAAGTTGTTGGTTTTTGGTTGAGATAATTCAAAAGACAATGTCCAGAACAATGCTTAGGTGGTATAATTCACTTCAGGATTTTGGCACTAGTTTATCCCGTTGTGCAAATTTTAACCAGCTGAGTAGTTGTTCGCGTTGGTTCTCCCACTGCTCCACTACTACAGCCAAGAGAACGAGATTGCTGGAAGTGATGTCGGCACCCACCTGTAATTGTATGAGCCATTTGGTTACCACACACCGAATGACTATGAGTCGGCTTGTTAACGGACTTGAACATACGCCTAATGGTACCAGTTGTACTCTAGTCAAACAACTCGCAGTGTAAAGCAGTAACCCAAATAAGGCTTATCGCTGCTCCAGTTTTACGAACCAGTACGATAGTAACACTGAGTATAATGCGCCTTATTCACCAGAAATTTGGATAGCCAATAACGAACACAACAGTTTTGCTCGAATCCGGCAACTTTTGTGTGAATTCGTATGAGCGGAATTGTTTGTTCTGAAGTTCAGATATTTGTCCGAGTATAGCTTTCTTTCCGGCTGAAAAATGTTGAAATGTCAGTTGATCTACCTATCTTTAGAGCAAATTATACGTCACATAAGTAAACGCGTCCGAGAAGGGATTCAGTCGTTTAGTTTCAGGCTATCTGGGTACATTCTGATAGGACTGGTTGGTTTTTGAACGCCATACTATACGTTAGCATTGTTTAGCACGATCATGGTACACCGGTGTTTAATACACTATATTAACAAAAACGCCATCAAAAGCGATTGTCTGCCGAAGATCGAGGGACAAAAGAGCGAATTACTCTGACCAATCCACAAAATGCAACTTTCCATCAATATCTCAAGCTTAGGCCAGTTACCAAATTTCTAAGCCGTGTGTGAATTTATGCAACTCAGAAGAAGATTAAACCTTCGCGATTTCCATTTTCTGACATTAATTTATCACCCCGTGTACGGACTACGTGTATCATAAAGCATTCCTGAAAATGTCAATTGAATTTGATTCACTGGAGCGCGGTCCATCAACAAAAACCATGAATTCGTCCTTTAGCAAATGACAAGAAAGATAATGCTGCCTGAACCAAAGACTTACAGCTAGGGAAAAAGTGACTGTATAATTTCTAACATTCACGCACGTTTTCTGTAAATTCCCGCGGAAAAGTAGTTAGGCTACAAGTGCCTGCTTGCCAAGCACACAAATTATGGCTCCCTAGTACATTGCGATCCCCGTTCATTAATCCACACGAAGATATCCCATATGAGTTTTGTGCTCGTTGATTTATGTTGCACCATAGTTGTCATGTCCAACAGATGTTGTATTTCGACCTCTGAATTTGTTGTGTTTTTTGTATTATCTCTGTTGTGTTGGTTAACTGTTGTTTGTTCCGATTTGCTTTCCTCCATTAAACCGACCTATCAGAACCCGCACCGTACCGCTACATGAAACAAGGTCGAAGTACATCCTTGAAACTCCCAAAGCGCCATTAGAAACGATCGCCACTCCATGCATTCTCCATCATTTGCAAAAAAATGAACAAAAGAAATTGTTTGTAGAAATATATTATCCGATTCCGTCCGAGCATGGCCATATGTGATATTGTGGATTTTCCAGTATACATATTACCACAAAGTGAATGTTGTATCTTGTCTTTAAACACTGTTCGTTTCCATACTATCGTGGAAATTATGTATCATTCTGCGGGTTGTGTTCCAACAGGACCATTCATATTCAAAATCGATACACATAAGATTGCTAATACACATCTTGCTTGGACGAAAACACTGGAACGAATTCCACAAGCTTTATGGCCCAAAAAGTAGGCTGCATATTACGTTAAGTTAAAGTAAGAATAAGACTCATGTCTATTTTATTCCTTCCTGTTCAGAGAGATTGACGTTAAAACGTGGACAAATTCTTCTAACCTTTTCTTTTGTGGTGCCTCCTGAAGTGCACTAATTTGACAATTTATTTAACCAATTATATTGGATTTAACACTTCTTACAAAAGCACTGTGTTCGTGGATCCTGAGATTTCGGAAATGAATAAATTTATCCAGTCTAGACAAGTAAGTCTTAGAAAGACTGATTTGTCATCGCAATGATGACGAATCCTTGTTGGATCTGTGAGCATGCCCTTAACTTGAGTTAGTTTAAAATAGTGCACTGTAACTTGGAATTGTGAGCTCCGTAGCAGACACCAGACACATCACACAGGACACTATCCCCATTCAGTGCATCGCTCTACAGTATGATCACAATTAAGTGCAATGTTCTGGGACACACAGAACAACTAGTGTCATTCACTGCAACAATAATTTGTTATGCAGTACACAAATCTTGCTCGAACGGATCTTGCAAGCCGGGTTTCGTCCTTTCACGTGCCCAACTAAGTGTCCGCGGATTATTCTATAATTATAGTTTTTTGCTTAATCATGCAGCGTCCATATTTTCAGAAAGATTTCCGATCTCTACATGGATAACGTTTGGCTGGTAGTTAACCAAAAGAAACAGGGGCTTCGCCATCGCAGTTAATTGGGGGTTGTAAACTTTCCCCGGAAAAATTATTAAGTATTTTTCGAATGACATATAGACCTGCTTGAGGATAGCTAGTGAACGTCTTAGAGTTAGCTGCTGCAGGAATGAATTTTTTTTACATAGTGTTCCACAGTAGTTGGCAAACCACGTTTTCACAACCCAGTTACTAGCATTTGTTCATTTAAGTAGCATCTCCAAGCCAATTTAACAAACACCGAGAAATTCTCAGAAATTCATCAAAATTCATTTGCCGTTGCAATTGTTACTCGTGCTCTAATGATGGCAGCGCTATCTTACCTGCACATGGTGAGAAGTTTATATAAGGGATAACATATTGTGATATCTTCCACGAAACAATATGTCATTTTTTTCATTTCACTTCATGATACATATTGTCTCAGTAAGTTGCTACATGTTCCCATGAACAGCTGCACGCGGGTGGATACGGACGACGTGAGAACTGCGAAAAACTCACTGAAATGAATTTGTTAGACAAACAGTAACGAAATCGACTTTTCATTTGAAATCAAACTAACCCGGATGTACACAACCACAAGCGGATCAAATTTGCATGATAAATCATTAACAAGAATGGCCAAGGTGAGGCTAACTCAGAGAAATTGTGGAAAGCCGTGGTGAAAAGTCGATTGGCCACATAGACCAGAAAGAGTTGCCGCTTTCAGCTTGTGTGTGCGAGTACCATTTCAACAAGAGCTAAAGAAATTCATTTTGCTATTCTCACTACACACGCAACGTGTAAAATTATAAACTGGTCCAAAAACAATATACCAAATTTTTATACAGTTTTAATGCACACATTGTATTATCTTTGGGAAGTATTCCTCTGCGACGGGATAACTCGGCTTCGCGCAGATTCAAGCAGTGTACACCGTATGCTAGATCAAGCTCTCAGTGCTTTAAGTCAAACGTGGTGGTCCAAGCTCATGTTTTCGAAGAAAGCGACTTAATGATTGCATTTTACGTTGCCGAAGCAGATGCCTGAGACACAGAATTCTGCAGCAGCCTCCTCTGACTACTGGTTCGGTTTTCTGGACTAATCACTGAACTCCAAGATTGCGCCGGAGACAAAACGAATAAATCCTTTAATTTATGGGCACATCGTGCTCGAAGCTCTCAAGCATTATAAACGCAAGCAAAGCTTGTGTCGTGAATTGAGAAATTCTTGAGGGAAATCAAAGTTTGTTTCTCCATATCGTTTTATAAGTTACATAAAGCCATATCCATGTCTGTCAATTTGAATATCAGTATATTCCTTTCCCGCCGGTTACGCAGAGGCATCAGTTCGCGATAAGATGTGCATCATTATCATCCCCTGTGAGAGGGATTACCTATTATGTATCCCTGAGGGGAGGAGAATTCTTACCGGTAATTTTGTTCTGAATTCCAATCAGCGTAGGTAACCCCATCGAGACAATTCTGGAGATCTAAGTTTCGGTGAGGTAAGGTAGCCTCACTCACCTGTTCGAGGCCTCTTATTCAAATACTTGGTCTTGATTGGATGTCAGAGTCTCCCTTCAGTGCAGGTTGAATCGATTAAACAATTACAAAGTCGAGTAATATCAATACTAAGGTACGTTCTTGTCTGATACTTGGAGAGGGATAAAACTCAGAGATTTTTTGCCGTTAGGTTTGGACAGCATAACATGTGGTCGTTTCTAGCGGACTTAATCACTTTAAGCTCGGAAATCTGGCGATTAAAAAGCTAGTTGAGGCGCATTTAGTCCAACCTGGAGAGATGTATTGTTTTAGCTGCGCTATTTTCTTCATGTCAGCGCATAGCTTAACTCAGGCACTGCTTGAGAGGTTGTTTGATTACATTAAGTAAAAGCGGACCACTAGTCTCCTACTGAGATCCCAGGATGGCTCTGATGCTTCTGTAATATTAATCAAGCTACTAGGCATGTCGATGGGTCTGGGTTGAAGGCCACTGAAGTTGTTCAAGTGCTATTGTTGTGGCTCGAATCAAGATGGGCTCTGGTTTCCTTATCATTTCTTTATTCGAAACAACCATTGGCGACTTTTGACGCTCATCAAGAGTTTACAGTATCATAGACTTTGTGATCAATACGTGAATACCATGCCAGAAAGTGCTGCTGGAAGCTCGAATTGGTAAGTTCAACTTGAGCGGTTTGTTTGACAGCTAAGTTGACCGATCTGTCACCGTTCCCGCATTGCATTGAAAGGATTA